AAACAGCTCAGGGTGGGGCAGAGTCCCTCCTCGGGGCAGGGTTATTGGGTCCTTTCATGCTGCTGCCATATGGGAGAGGAGTCTGCACTGGGATTCCACCTGCTACTGCTATTGGGTTCTTTCCCCAAAGCCTCTGTCCCCAGTCTCTCCTCAAGTGTCGCCAGACCTCTCTGCATCACCTTTAGCCAGGGATCTACTGTTTATGGCTGCTACTCTGCACTTAGCAAGCAGCTTAGACAGCACAGGGCAGAGTGGAATCCCACCTGGGGGCGGGGCTATGGGGTCCTTTGACGCAGGTGCCGCTCAGGGGGAGTGGTCTCTTCCTGAGAAAAATGGCTGCTGCAGCATGGGGGATGAGTCAGCACCAAGATCCCACCGGCTACTCTCTCAGTTCTCTCCCCAAAGCCTCCCTCCCCAGTCTCATCATGCGTCTCTAGCCCACTCTGCCCCTGCCTTTGCGGGAGACCAGGGTAAGAGGCTGCAAATAAAAATTTTACGTTGGCCCTATAGAAGGCTCTTTGCGTCTCCAGCCGCCTCTCTCTGGCAGAGAGCAACCTTGCCGCCTTTCACAGCTGGCTGTTTTCTGTGTACTTTTTGGGCTCTGGTGCTGTAGGCTAGAGATCCCTGCTTTTGGTTTAGATCCCGCTCTTCTCAGGGGGATCCAACTGGTTGATTCAATATCCTTCTGGTGCTGCTGCTCATGGGCGTCGTACCCGCCTTCTTAGGTCTGTACCGCACTCCTTACCAGTTAGATTGCGCTAAAGCTGATTCTTCTGTGTTTGAGGTTACAGAGCTCCTCTCTCACTATTGTTCAGTTGTTTGTTCCAGGTGATTTCTCCACAATTTAGTTGTAATTCTAGGTTGGGAGGAGGTCAGTGTGACTTCTACTCACTCCTCCACCATCTTGATTCTCCCGAAATCCAGTAATTTTTTAAAAAAGTCTTCCCAAAAAGAAAAGCCCAGGACCACATGGTTTCACTTGTGAATTCTACCAAACATTTGAAGAAATAATACCAATTTTCATCAAACTCATCTAAAAAATAATTATAATAAAGAAAAATACAAGTGAATATACCTACTATGAATATATTTGCAAAAATTCCCAATGAAAAATTGTAGCAATGGCTCTGCATGCCTCCTGAGTTCTCCCCATTTGGGCCAGGATCTCTGCTCACATAGGTGCAAATGCATACTAAAGGGAACATATTTTTAATTTGCACATTTATCTTACCTAATCCATTCAAAACTTACTGTGCCATCATTTTTCCCCATCTCAGTTAATAACACCATCATTATTCAATTATTTCAGCCAAAACCCCAAAAGTCATCCATGATACTTGTTTTCCCTTGTCCCACATTTATCAGTCGTTTCTGTTAGCTCTATTTCCAAAATTTATAACAAATGTGTCTAATTTTCTCCTTATTTCTGATACTACCTCTGACAGCACAATATCAGTGTCACCTGGATTACTAAAATAGTCTCTTAACTATTCTGATTCCACTCTTTCCACCATAAAAGCCTTTTTCTATGGAGCAGTAAAAAATGTTCTACTTCTAACAATGGCTGACTAGGGTGTTTTAGAACCCCTCCTGAGAACAGTAAGAAGAGCTCAACAAAATATGTTTTAAAAAACTGTTTAGATGCATCAGCGATTTAACAAGTAAATAAGAATTTGCAAGGTCAGCATTGGGAAAAAGTGATGAACCAAGAAAGGTGAGTGTGACATATAGGACAGCTTTACCCGTCAAGGCAAGTACTGGTTCTGTAAGTCAAACCTGGGGATGACGGGCTGAGAAGCTGAGCAGAGCTCCTGACATGTTCAAGGGTTGCAGGGGTGGAAATGGGAGTTCAGGGACCACCTAAGACATTGGTAAACAATCCTGGTAAACAATCCTGGCTTTGTAGTGAGGATCTGGAGAGCTATACCTCAAGAGTAAAAGTGGAACAGAAATAGATAAGCCTTCACAAAGATTGAAACACAGCTTCCCTCCCTATGTAGGTTAATTTTGCATGCATTATGCTAAGTGAAAAAAACTAGAATCAAAAGGCTATATAATGCATGATTCCACTTATATGGCATACAAGGAAACACAAAACTTATAGCTACAGAAAACAGGTCAATGTTAGGATTTAAGGGCAAGGGATGAATGAGACTGCAAAGGGGTCACGTGAGGGAATTTGTAGGTTGTTTATTATTTTTTTGGTGGGGGAAGGTGATAAAACTGTTCTGTATCTGGGCTATGGCAGTGGTTACACAACTCTATGCATGTGTCAAAAGTCATAGACTTTTATGACAAAGAGTAAGGTTTACTATAAGTAAATTAAAAATAAATTTAAATTGAGATAAAATTAATTGTCTTTCTATATACCAGCAACAAATAAAAAATTAGATTAAAAAATTGGTAACAGCACCAAAAACTACTAAATACCCTAGGACAAATCTAATAAAAGACATACAAGACCTCTATGCTGAAAGCTACAAAATACTATGGAGAGATTAGAGAAGAACTAAATAAATAAATAAAAAGATATACCATGTTCATGAATTAAAATACTCCAATATTATAAAAATATTAACAATATAATTGAAATACCAGGACATTTTTTTAAATTGGCAGAATGATTCTAAAATTATATGGAAATGTAAAGGGCCAAGAACAGCAAAACAATTTAGAACAACAAAGTCTGAGCATATCAATATTCTGCTGTATATCAATATTTATCATAAAACTATAATAAGACAATTGGGAACAAATTAGGGAGTCCAGAAAATGACCCTTGATTATACATATAGAGCCTCTTGATTATAGAGTTTTCACCACAGAACTGAGGGAAAATTATGTTTTCAGAAGGTGATGCTGTTCAGTTATATAAATATGGAAAAATTAAAACTTAGCTCCTACTTCACATCATACACTGAAGTCATTTCCAGCTGGAGAATAAATATAAACATTAAAACAAAAATAGCTACTAGAAAGCAACTTTGGAGAATGTCTTTATGCTGTTTGGATAGGGAAATTTCTTAAACAGGATAAAAAAGCTAATTATAAAGAAAAAGTGAAAATTGGACATTAAATTCAACTTGTTTATCAATATACACCATGACCAATATAAAGGTAGGAGAATCATTTGCACCATATATATACCCAACAAAAGTCTTATATCCACAGTATATAAAGAACTCCAAAATATAAATGAAGAAAAGATGAACGACCAGTAGAAAATTGAACAAGAGAACCAAACAGGCACTTTGCAAAAGAGAATATTCAAAATGGTCAATGAACAATTGAAAAGGTGCTCAACCTCTATAGTCACCAGGAAAATTCTAATGAAAAACCACTTATAGAATAGTTATAGTAAAAATGATTGACTATCAAGCTTGATGTGAATGTGGAGCAACAGGAACTCTCATACACTGCTGGTGGGAGTGGAACTTGAAACTACCATTTGGGAAAATAGTCTCTACTAGGAGCTGAACATATACATACTAAATGACAGCAATTTCACATCCAGGCATATATCAACCAGAAATAAGAACATATAGTAACACCAGCACAATCTGTCATTACTAAAACTATAAACAACTCAAAATTCCATCCACATTAAAATGCACAATTTGTAGTGTATTCACACAATAGATTATTATATAGCAATGAAAATTAGCAAACTACATGTAACAATATGGCTAAATCTCACAATTATAATGTTGAGCAAATGAAGCCAGACACCAATGGATCTATACTGAATATATCCATTTAAATCAAGTTAGAAATATATTAAAAGCTAAGTTATGGTGAAGTTATGGTTAGGAATCTAAGTTATGGTTAGAAATCTAAGTTATGGTTAGAAATCTTTCCTTTGGGGAGGAGCAGGGGGTTACTGATTGGGAGGGGACAAGATGGGACTTCTAAGGAGCTGGTAATGTTCTATTTTTTGACTTGGTGATAATAAGGGTATATTCACTTTATGGTATTCATTGAGCTATATACACTGAGGATTTGTTCATTTTTCTGTGTTTAAATATTACATATTTTTAAAGTTAAAAATAAAAAGATAAAAGATAGATCTTTTTAAAATGTTTTTAAAAAACCACCTCAGATGATGTCATGTTCTGCCTTCAAGTAATTGAATGACTTCCTATAACACAAACAAGGCTACTTGATCTGACTCTTGCCTACCTATTTGTCCTCAGCTTACATTATTCTCCCTTCTTTATCATGAGCCTCCCTACTGGTCTTTTACTTTCCCTCACACAAACCAAACTTGTTCTTGTTTCAGGGCTTTTGTACTCACTCTACAATTGCCTGATGTTCCTTCCCCATCTCTCTTTGTAGCTGCATATTTCTTATCCTTCAGTCTCCAGTTAAATATTATCTCCTCAGGACTGCCTTTCCTGACCTGTCTACCTAATGTAGCATATCCCACCTACTTCCTAGTCCCTCTCCATCTCAGGAGGTGGTCAACGTTTTCTATTAAGGACCACAGAGGAAATGTTCTAATCTTTGTAAGCCAGATGGACTGGGTCACAAGGACTCAAGATTTTTTGTCCTGGCATGGTAAGCAGCTAAAAATAATATGTAGATGAGTGGGTGTGGCCAAGTTCCAAGAAAACCCTACTTATGGATTTGACATTCAGATCTCCTATCATTTTACATGTTATGAGAAAGCCTTCTTTTGATTTCCTCCCAAGCATTTAAAAACAAAACACTCACCCATAAAAAAAGGCAAAAAACAGGGTCAGAATACCCTAAATTGCCAACCTCTGCTCTACCCATTACACCAATTTTTCTTCCTAGCCTTATCACTATCTAAAATAGTTTTCAGGCATTCACTTAAAATGGTTTCAGGCATTCATGCGTTTTTCTTCTATCTTTCCCCTGCTCAAGAATTCCAGCTCCAACAGGGAGGAGTCTCATCTATTTTCTTTACTATTGTGTGTCTTCTACCCAGTATGGCATCTGAAGCATAGAAGCTGGAGGAGAGGAAGGCCCAAGCCCACCTGGGTGTGACTGGGGTTTTGGCTTGGATCTTGATGGTCTTCTTGCGGGTGGGGCTCACAGGAGCAGACCCAGGTTCTTCCTTCAAAAACTCTCCAAATGAGGCCTCTTGTTGGATTGACTGACATCGTAATGCAAGGGTTTCTCCTGAGTAGAGATTTGGCTTGGTGCCCCGCTCAGGATTGAGCCAGGATTTCATTTTGTTTCGACTTATTTCTGCTTCCTCCCTTACTGGATATTCTATGGTGAGCAGGCCTGTTAACAGAAGACACTTCTGTTACTCTCCCTTGTGTCCTGGCCTTACCTCCCTGTTGCGAGGTCCTGTAAGTGGGCACACTTCATCTCCCTCTCCACTTCTTCACTCTTGTAGATTCTCCCACTAGCTGCCTGCCCTCTGTTGCCTGCCACAGGACTCTAACCCTAGTACAGTTAGTGGATCAGTAGATAACAGCTGAATGTAAGAATGAATCAACCTAATTTCCATTCATTCATCAACATCCAGCTTAGATCCCTCTTCTCCTAAGGGGCCTGTGTTTCCTTCAGCTTTGTGTTCTCCACAGCACTCAATGTAGAGACTGGGTACATAGTGCATCCATGCTGTTCCCTTTCCTGAGAATGCTATTCCCCATGTCTCCAGATTTAAGTCATTTCCATCTACTTTCTTTGTTATATCATATTTATTTGTATTCTTAGTTTACTTTCCTCATTAGACTGGAAAACTTCTGAGGCCAGGGACCTCTCATTCCTTCATTCACTTATCATCTATTGAATGCTGGGTGCTGGGCATACAGAGGCCACCCAAAACAGTGTTCTCTGCCTCTGAAAACTCCTAGTAACAGTAAAGGAGGGATGGACAAACAGAAATATTTACAATGCTATGTAGTAAGATTTATAATTTGAGCACATATAAAGTGCTGTGGGAGCCCAGAGGAAAGTGTGCCCCATTCTTCTGGGGGAACTGGGAAGACTTTCCAGAGGAGCGGCACAGTTCAACCAACTCTACAGGGATGAGGACAAACACTCTGGGGTGGTCATGGGGGAGCACAGACCCTCCATGCCCAGCTAAGGGTTGGCATGGAATGGTGTGGGGCTGGGAATATGTCAATGTTCCTTTGTCCCCAGGCTCATCAGCAGTGAGAATAGTCTGGATGTGGGAGGGGTCCTGAGGCTACCCACACTGGCCCTGGGGAGCTCTGTGGGCCTAACAAGATATCCTGGTGAGGTGGCTGCTTTTTTCTCCTCTGCTGAGATCTTCCAAAATGAGGAGAGAGGAATGGGGCTGCAAAAAAATGATGGACAATATAATAGATGGACCAGGTGAACCAGGTGTGGGGGTGGGGACAGAGAGACATACAGAAAGATGATGAGGCCGAGGAAAGTAAGATAATCACATGAAGACATTAAATACACATGGGAGCGCACTCATAAATTGAGGATGGCATGAGCATAGGTTTCGGTAGGGCTGCGGCGTCCAGCAGCATGGCTCTGGCAGGAACATCGACATTGCTGCCAGAAATTCACTTTTCTCATGCCCTAGAAATTTGTCTAGACTCAGGAATTTGCTGAAAAGAAATTGTGCAGAATGGGCCATTTGTTCGATGCCTGGGTAAAGGACCAGAGCTTTCTTGGCCAGAGCTGCCTCCCTCCCTAATGGGCTTTAGTGGCCCCGTGGGATAGCCAGGACCTCAGGCTTACAGCTTCTCCCTCAGATGACACCAGACCTCTATTATGAGCCCACAATTGGAGCAGGCAGGATCATGGTGACAGACGTCCTCAGGTGAGGTTTTAGAAAATAAAGAGAACAGGACTTCTGGTCAAGATGGAGGCGTAGGTAAACACACTTCACTCCTTGCACAGCCACAGCAAAAATTACAACTAGACTACAAAACAAATATTACCCAGAAATGTCAGAAAATCAAGCTGTATGAAAGTCCAACAACCAAGGATTTAAAGAAACCACATTCATCCAAATGGGTAGGAGGAGCCGAGACATGGAAACAAGCAGAGAGGCGTGGAGAATGGAAGAGGAGAAGAGAGGCACAGCAACTGCAGAGTGGCATGGAGAGGTGTCAGAATGGGCAGTCCCACATTCATGTATGGTGGATAAAAATCAGGAAGGATACTTCGGGAATGAGGGATCCCAGCCCCAAACCACCCAGCCTCAGGTTCCAGCGCCAGGAAGATAAATCCCTATAACTTCTGGCTGTAAGAACTAGTGAGGGTTGGAGCAGCAGAATAAACTGCAGAATTCTCAGGAGTCTCTTCTTAAAGGGATTGCAATGACTTAGGACTTACGCAGACTAACCCCATCTAGGATTCAGCACCAGGACAACAGCTGGAAGAGTACCAGTGACTGGAAACGGTGAGTGCTGAGAGACAGCTTCCTCCCAGGCAAATCTCAAAAAGCCAGGCAGTGGCATTGTCTCCTGTCTGAACCCTCCCCCACACAGTGCCACAAAGTGGTGATACAGGTTGCCTTGCCCTGGCGATTACCTAAGGCTCCACCCCACACAATTGTATGCTTTTCTACAAAAGGTCACGCTGCAAAGACAGGGAGTCAAAGCAGCTCTACCTAATACACAGAAACAAATACAGGGAGGCTGCCAAATTGAGGAGACAAAGAAATATGGCCCAATTGAAAGAACAGAACAAAACTCCAGAAAAATAACTAAACAAAATGGAGATAACCAACCTATCAGATGCAGAGTACAAAACACTGGTTATCAGGATGGTCAAAGAACTCACTAAGTACGACAACAGCATAGAAAATACCCAAACAGAAATGAAAGTTACATTAAGTGAAATAAAAATCTACAGGGAACCAATAATGGAGAACATAAAGCCGAGAATCCAATCAACAATTTGGAACACAAGGAAGAAAAAAAGCATTCGATCAAAACAGCAAGAAGAAAAAAGAATTAAAAAAAAATGAGGATAGACTAAGGAGCCTCTGGGACTTCTCCAAATGTACCAACATCTGAATCATAGGGATGCCAGGGGAAGAGGAAGAGCAAGAAATTAGAAACTTATTTGAAAAAATAATGAAAGAAAACTTCCCTAATTTGATGAAGGAAACAGACATACAAGCCAGGAAGCACAGAGATTACAAACAAGTTGGACCCAAGACACACCACAATTAAAATGCCAAAGGTTAACGATAAAGAGAGAATCTTAAAAGAAACAAGAGAAAAGCAGAAGATTATTTACAAAGGAGTTCCCATAAGACTATCAGCTGATTTCTCAAAAGAAACTTTGCAGGCTATAAGGGTCTGGAAAGAAGTATTAAAAGTGATGAAAAGCAAGGACCTATAACCAAGATTACTCTATCCAGAAAAACTGTCATTTGGAATGGAAGGACAGATAAAGTGCTTCCCAGACAAGGTCAAGCTGAAGGAGTTCATCATCACCAAGCCATTTTAATATGAAATGTTTAAGGGACTTATTTAAGAAAAAGGAGAAGATAAAAAACATGACCATTAAAATGTCAACAAACTTACAACTATCAACAACTGAATCTAAAAAACAAACTAAGCAAACAGCCAGAACAGGAATAGAATCATAGACATGGAGATCATTTGGAGGGTTAGCTGTGCAGGGGAAGGGAGAGAATAGGGGAAGAGGTGCAGAGATTAAGAAGCATAAATTGGTAGGTACAAAATTAGACAGGGGGATGTTAAGAATAGTATAGGAAATGGAGAAATGAAAACTTATATGCACAACCCATGAGCATGAAATAAGCGGGGAGATTGCTGGAGAGAATGTGGGTACTGGGTGGAGGGAGACAAAGGAGGAAAATTGGGACAACTGTAATAGCATAATCAATAAAGTATATTTAAGTAATTAAAAAAAACAAGGGTGGTGAAGGTCACCATTACTAGCTGTGTGGCCTTGAGCAAGTACCTTCAGTACCCTGAGCCCAGTGATCCCATCTGCCAATGGGGAAATCTCCCTGCCATGTCCACCTGCCTGGGGTGGTAAGGAGCTGAACTTGGAGATGACTTGCAGGTAACTCAGGGTTTGGGAAGCCATCAAATAGGCTGTCACCAACCTTTCTGCCCCCTTACCCGCTGCCAGTAAGACAGAATTCATGAACTGAGACATTGTCTTCTGAAACCGCTTCTTGATCTCTGCCAGAGCTCGGTTCATCTTAGACATCTTGTCATCCATGCTGCTGATCTTGTGGGTTGCCTGGGGAGAGGCCAAGGAGAAGGCATCGTCACCTGTCCTTCCAGGGGCCATCTGCCCAGACCAGTGACAACCAGGACTTTCTCTCGCTTGGATGATGTACTGTCCCCTCTGCCTAGGACACGCCTCTCTCCCCCTCAGCTGAATGAATGCCTGCACACTGGCCTAATCACACTCAAATGTCCCCTCCAAGGGGACATTTTTCCTGATTCTCCTGGGCAAAAGTGTTCCTAGCCTTGGATCCCCATTATCATGCAGCCTGAAGATGGGAGTTAGCCCTTTAGGAAGTAATTGAAAGCATTTGAGCCTGTCTCCTCCACTCAACTGTAGGCTCCTAGAGGACTGAGTTCTGGTCTCCTGTGTGTCTGAGTGTCCATCATGCATAAAGTATTCAATTAATGCTTGTTGCATTATGAAAAACTAGATGGATAAAGGCCTCTCTGGAGCCAGTCCTTCTCCGTATGCATCCCCTAGAACCCTCTTCCTCCCTCCAGCTGCCAGAGCATCTCAGCTGAAAAACTGCCCTTGGCCGTTTTCAGACTGAAAACAGACTGCTACCTGCAAGCACAAAGGCCCAGGCCTCCTGCCTCAATTTTGGGTCACCCTGAAGGGCCATTCTGGTTCAGGTGGTGGGAGAGGGATCCTGTGGGGGTGGTAAGCCAATTGCTGGGGCTATTCTGCAGCTCAACTGATACCTCTGCTAGAGTGTCAAAATGGTACTACACAACTAGGGTCGGATTCCAGAGTTCATGGCAGTCAGGATCTGACTCTTTCTCCAGGAAGCCTTTGCCAATTTCCTCAGCCCACAGCAATCGCTCTCCATGTTAAACTTGCACGTTTGCCCCTTCCTGTCCTGTCTGCCCTGGGTCCTGGTCATTTTTTACTTTCTTTATAATAAACTTGCTTAGCCCCTTAAAGGCAGGAATCATGCTTTCTACATCTCTCACTTAACCCAGAGACAGTGTGAAAAAGATTTTTCTTCTGTGGAATTGACATCTCAGGTGGAGAGAGTGAGGTGGGCAGTGGACAGATTTTCTAAAGAACAATGAAGTCAGCCCGCATGTCCTTCTTTACCCTGCGGGCAGGACTTCCGTAAAGGATGCCCCAATTAATGGCAAAACCTCAACCATCCTTCCAACTGCTGGCCCCAGCTGCCGCTTCTGGGCTAATTTTATTTATTTATTTGTAATTTACACCCAGCCTGCTTCCAAAAAGGATTTGAGGTGGCACTCTGGGCTAATAAAGCATTTAAATTGAGGCATTGCCTCGCTTCCAAAGTGCTGCCTTGATAGAAATATTTAGTGAGGAGCCAGGCCGCAGGGCCGTAAAAGCTGGAACTGCCATTCTGCCTGTCACTCTTCTCCCAGGGAGATGGGTGTCTGGGGAAGCCATTTAACAAGCTTCCCTGTGACAGGGACTTCGAGGAAGGAGGCCACCCTACCCCCACCCTCAGCTTTCCTAGACTGTCATGGATTTGGCTGATGAGTGATAACTAGCCCAAAACACACACACACACACACACACACACACACACACACACACACACTGGATGGAGTTGAACGAGTTGTAAAGGTCTCAGGGTGGCAGTGTGTGAAACGGGTGGGTCCTTGTATATCACAATACAGATGGGGAAACTAAGATCCCAAAAGGGAAGGGACTCGCCCAAGGCCCTATGGCCTCTTTCCAGCCAAGGCTCTTTGCCAGCCGCCACACTCAGCAAAGTTTCTCAAGGGCCTCTCACAGCTCTCATCGTCCAAGAATCCAAAAGGAGGCAATTCTCTGAGATTCAAGAATTTCACATAGAAATATTTAAGAGGTTTAACCTGGCAGTTAAGGCCAATGTTTGGGAATCCTGTTACCTACAATAAATCTGATCTTTCTTCATTTGCTGTTGTCTGGTTAGGGAGTTGTAATATGTACTATATCTCCCTGTGCTCACACACAGAAGGGATTATGACCTGAATGCTTTTTGGCAAGTCAATCTTCTTGGTCAACATCCATGACTGTTGCCTAGAAAACAGTTCTGTTTTCAGAAAGCTGTTCTAATGTCTGTTTATCCCTGTGCAAAATGTCCCCAAGACGGTTACGCTCTTTGAATTATGATGCCTTGTCCATAACTTTCTAGCCCCTGACTGCACTGTAGTGCCCCTGGGAGCTCCCTTTACAAAGACTCCGCCACCTGGACCCACAGGGTCCAGTAGAAATATAACATGAGCTACGTGAGCAGTTTGAAACATTCCTGTAACCACATTTAAAACATTGTTAAAAGATAAAATTTATTTTAATAATAACATATTTAGCTACCCGCTATATAAAAATTATGACTATTTCAACATGGAATCTAAATAAATAATTAACGAAAGCTTTTACATTGTCTTTCTGTATGAAGCCTTGGTAATGCAGAATGTATTTTTGCTGATGGCCCATCTCCATTGGACTTGTCACCACCCTGCAAGTACTCAATAACCATTTGCAACTTGTGGTTACCATCCTGGACATCACAGATCTGTATGTCTAGTTCTAGCCTGCCAAGGTTGCATTTAGGTAAGAAAAAAATCAGTCTTGAATTTTATTAAGGGGCTTCCTAGTGGTTAAGGGGACTTAGAGTGATTTCTCTCAGCTGTTCATCACAGTCTTCAGCTGCCTATGTCCTGGCTCTCAGCTGACTTCAGAGATTGCCAGACAAGAGAGTGCCAGGCAAACAAAGCATTGCTGCAATTTTATCAGAAAAAAATATCATTTTCTAATATTTATTGTCTTTGGTAAGTAAACACATTTTTTTTTTACACAGTCTAAAAAGGTTATCAAGAAACATAGACATGTGACCTCGTGCAAACTTAGTCACTTAACTATGACTTTTATTTATTTATTTTTTAATTTTTATTAAATTTATTGGGGTAATGTTGGTTAATTAAATTATATAGGTTTCAGGCTTCAGTTGGTTAGAGCATCGTCCCAATATGCCAAGTTTGTGGGTTTGATCTCTGGTAGGGCATGTACAAGAAACAACCAGTGAATGCATGAATAAATGGAATAACAAATGGATGTTTTTCTCTCTCTTTCAAATCAGTAAATAAAATTTATATAGGTTTTAAGTGTATAATTCTATAATATATCATTTGTATAGTGTATTGTGTGTTAGCCACCCAAAGCCAAATTCCTTTCTGTCACCATTAACCCCCTTTTTACCCTCCTCTACCTTCCCCCACACCCCTCTCCCTCTTATAATCACCATACTGTTGTCCATATCTATGAGTTGTTTTTTATTTTTTCTTAATCTTTTCACCTTTTCAACCAACCCCTAACCCCCTCCCTCTGATAGTTGTCAGTTTGTTTTCTCTGAGTCTGCTGCCATTTTGTTTGTTTATTTTGTTCATTAGATTCCACATATAAGTGAAATAATATGGTATTTGTCTTTCTGTGACTGGCTTATTTCACTTAGCATAATATTCTCCAAGTCCATCCATGCTATTGCAAAAGGTTAGATTTCCTTCTTTTTTATGGCTGAGTAGTATTCCACTGTGCATATGTACCACAGCTTTTTTTTTTTCAATCCACTCATCTACTAAAGGACAATTGGGCTGCTTCCAAATCTTGGCTATTAGAAATGATGCTGCAGTGAACATAGGGGTGCATATATTCTTTCAAATTACTGTTTCTGGTTTCTTCAGATAAATTCCCAGAAGTGGAATCACTGGGTCATAAGCAGTTCCATTTTTAACTTTTTGAGGAAACTCTATGCTGTTTTCCACAGTGGCTGCACCAATCTGCATTCCAACCAACATTGCACAAAGGTTTCCTTTTCTCCACATCCTTGCCAGGATGTTTGTTGATTTATTGATGATAGCCATTCTGACAGGTGTGAAGTGTATCTCACTGTGGTTTTAATTTGCATTTCTCTGATGATTAGTGAAATTGAACATATTTTCACATGTCTTTTGGCCACTCATATGTTCTCTTTGGAGAAGTGTCTATTCAGATTATTTAATTGGATTGATTTTTATATGTGTGTGGGAGGTTCTATAAGTTCTTTATAAATTTTGGATACTAATCCTTTATCAGATGTATCATTGCTAATATGTTCTCCCATTCAATCGGTTGTCTTTTCATTTTGTTGATGGTTTCCTTTGCTGTACAAAAACTTCTTAGTTTGAAGTAGTCCCATTTGTTTCTATTTTTTCTTTGTTTTCTTTGCCTGAAGTAATACATCAGAAAAAAATTGCTATGAAAAATGTTTGATATTTTACTGCCTATATTTTCTTCTAGGATTTTTATGGTTTCAAGTCTTACATTCAAATCTTTAATCCATTTTGAGTTTATTCTTGTGCATGGTGTAAGCAGGTGGTCCAGTTTCAATTTTTTGCACATATCTCTCCAATTTTCCCAACATCATTTATTGAATAGACTGTCTTATCCCATTGTATGATTTGCCTCCCTTGTCAAATATTAACTGACCATAAGGATGTGAGTTTATTTCTGGGCTATCTATTCTGTTCCATTGATCTATATTTCTGTTTTTATGCCAGTACCATGCTGTTTTGATTACTATGGCTTTGTAGTATTGTCTAATATCAAGTAGTGATTCCTCTAAAGGTTCCTGAGAACGTTTGTTCTTTCTCAAGATTGCTGTGGCTGTTTGGGGTCTTTTGTTGTTCCATATAAAAAATTTGAATATTTGTTCTAGTTCTGTGAAATGCAACAACAATGTCTTTTATAGTAACAGCATGGAACCAAATTCATAGGATGGACTCATCAATAAGCATGATCATTCATCTCAACCCAGATGGACTCAGAATCATGGGGTTATTTTGCTCTTTGAAGTAACGAAGAACAGTCTGAAGTTAGGGGCATTTAAGTTTTCTGGATTCTCCTTGGAGACCCATTTAATGAACCCTGGTAGCTCCCTCAGAGCCCTTATCTCTAGTGCCCCATGCCCATCAAGCTGGAATACAACAGGCGTTGATGTGACTGCCCTCCCCTTAGACTTACAGTATTTCAGACTAGAGAGAATGAGATTTCTTTCATTTCTACATCCTCAGCAGCCAACTTGGCACACTGTAGGTGCTAATAAATGTTTATTGAATTAGTTCATAAATAATGAAGTTGAAATGCTGCTGAAATGAAAATGCATTGAAAATAACAGGTGCAATGCTCTCCTTTAGGATAAACACAGGTATTCTATGTTATCCTGTTCAGATAGCATGGGTCCCTAACAAATGCCTGTCTCCTGTGTCCCCAAGTAAAGTGAGGATGTTGGGCTGACTGCTTCTTATGGGCACTGTTAGCTCTGAGAGTCTATGGAGCCTGTGGTGTGTGGCAGCAAATGCCCCCATAGCATTAGAGCCTTGCTCAGGGTGACCATATAATTGATCATCCAAACTAAGATACTTTTGAGAGTAAAAGAGGGTGATATTAATAATTTCTCCAGGCTGACAGATGTAAACAGGGACTGGCCCTGGGCAGACTGGGAGGTGGGGTCCTCCTGTTCCTAATTCATGGAGCCTTCCTGAGTAAGCTAATCCCAGCAAAGCACCGTGCGCAATGCGAGTGGCTTGCTCCATCAATGAGACCTTGGTCACCTCAGTCTCATGCTGTATGTCAACTGCTCTCCTCTAGATTATAAATTCCTCAGGAATCAAGGATTGTGTCTCCTTAATCCTCTCCATCTTTCCCCACAATGGTGACTTGGAAACCAAGCACATAGCAGGATCCATACAGACTTAGCAAGTGGAAGAATTGGACTTTCAGTCTCTGCTGTTTTCTTACCCACCCAACAAATATTTAGCCCCGGCTGGTATTCAGTGGGGTTAGCACCAGCCTGAGGTCCAAAGGGTCACTGGTTCAATTCCCAGTCAGAGCACATGCCTGGGTTGCAGGCCAGGTCCCCAGTAAGGGGTGTGAGAGACAACCACACACTGATGTTTCTCTCCCTTTCTTTCTCCCTCCCTTCTCCTGTGTCAAAAAATAAAATCTTTTTTTAAAAAAAACAACAAATATTATTAAGTACTTAATTTGAAGCAGTCCTTGTGTAGGGTCCTAGGGCAATAGACATCAGTAAAAGTCACAGGGAATTCCCAATTTGGTGAAGAAGATTGGCTTATAAGTAAAAGAATGCTAGAATGGAGGTGAGTCATGTCTGGGAGGCCTACAGAGAGAGAGAGACTCTACCTGAAATGGATAAAGGGTTAACAGAGTTGGCAGTTATTCTGTTCAGCAGCATCTCTTCCTCTTCTGGTAAAAGCATCATGATTTTCCTTTAGAAAAACACTCCTGCCTCATCCTTTGCTCAGGTGTTACACCTGGGGCTGATCATACCCCCTGACTTCCAGGATGGACAAGACACATGAACCTAGTCAGTGAGAGCAACATATACTCCTGGCCACAGGGAACATCTTGGGCATGGGCAGCGAATGGAGCTGATGATGTTGATGTTGGCACTTCTACGGGAGCACTTAAGGAACAGAAGTCCCCATTCTCCTGGGGAGAACAAAGCTGGTAGAATAATGAGCCCAGAGATGCTCACACCTATTTGTCACCATAAGGACAGAAACTCCCCGAAAATAAATCCAAAAATCAAAAAGCAGGGCTAAGAGGCAAAGATATGATGGATTCTGTTGAGGGCCTGGATCCAGCCATGCCTGAAGCTGCCTATTGACAGACTGCCATTTACTGAGCCAATATGGTCTCTTTTCATGCTTAAGCCAGTGTGCATTGGATTCTATCACAACTAAAAGACTCCTAACTGATAGTAGTTTCACAGAGAAGGTACTAAGATCAGGCAGTGAATGATGAGAAGGAACCCATTAGATGGAGAAAGAGGGAGGGCCTTGCATGCAGTAGAGGTGTGTGTGGGGTGAGGAGTGTAGGAGATGCAAAGGCACTGAGAGGTGGAGTGGCAAGACATGTTGCAATGTCAAACCTGGGTGCCTGGTTTGCTTTGCCTTACCCTTTTATCGTGCCCTACCCCGTGGGGACAGTTGTTGGGCGATACAGTGAGTGTTACTGTCTCATTCAGGGAGGTGAAGGTGACCATGATGGAGTCCTGCCCCAGCACCGTCAGCTTCATTTGCTCATTCACCTGCAGATGAAGAAACCAGTACTCAGCGGACCCCTGCTTCTATTGTCCCTGCCCAGCCCAACCCTCCCTGACCCACCACAAGGCACAAAACCCCTCTTGGCTTGGGACCGAGGGAACTGTAAAAATATTTCTGGTCCTTACGTTGCAATTTAGCTTTCATGAAAAAAAGGGAGAATAATTCCAGTCTCTCTATGGGGGATTAGCAAAAAACAAAAACAAAACAAAACAAAAAACCCTGATGCCTTCTTACCCATGCTCCTTGTCTTTCCAACCCAAGTTTGGAACCAACTGCGAAAGAGACACAGGAGTCTGGCAGGCAAGTCAGCTTTGGTTCCGCTCATCTGCTCAGGGGTTCATGAGCCAGCCCAGTTATGCATATCTCCATCATCCCCAATCTCTCACCCCAGGTGAGGATCCAATAGCCCAGAGACATATGGCTGTTGATCCAATAAAAATATCTAAAAACACATTGATCTTTGACCCTCTCAGAAAGTTCTCTGTTTTCACCCAGAAGATACACACTCCATTGTGGAGTCATCTATAATTCCCTCCTCCTCCTCTCACATATCCCTTACAGCTCATGCCTGAATGCACCTGAATTATTTTTACTGATATGGTTCTTTTTTTAAAAGATTTTATTTTACTTTACTTTTAGACAGATGGGAAGGGAAGGGAAAAAGAGAGGGAAAGAAACATCAGTGTGTGGTTGCTTCTCACACGCCCCCTATGGGGGACCTGGCCCACAACCCAGGCATGTGCCCTGACTGGGAATCGAACCAGCAACCCTTTGGTTCACAGGCCAGCACTCAATCCACTGAGCTACACCAGCCAGGGCTGAAATGGCTCTTTTTAAAAATATTGTTACTACCCTTAATCATGTCAGGTCTGGCTAGTAATCCCCACCTAGTCTATCTACTGTCCTATCCATTGATCTTTCCCTCTCCAGCTGACCTTCCACACAAATGCTAAACTGAGCATGCCAGCCCTAACTTAAAAATTAACCAGCTGGTTCTATCCACTATAGCCAAATCAGCTTCTAAGAGGCTTGGGAAAAAGCACCCCCCAAAAAAACCCAAAAGCCCACCCCGACAAGAAACAAAACCACCCAAAGCTATGAAGAGTTTAAAAAGAGCAGCCATATTTTGAAGAGTCAAAACTTAAAGGAAAGGACCAACATGGGATTAGTTTCTTTTTTACACCTTTAGCCTGAATACAGGCCAGTCATGGCCCAGACTCCACCATCTTTCTAGTTCAAAGAATCAAAGGATAGAACCTGGAACATCTGTAGTCACAGAAAAGTAAGGAAAGATTTCCAGAAGGGACAGAGCCAAAGACAGCCTCAAATCCCTGAACTATGCATGAGCAGGGCAAACTCAAGGGAGCTTACAGCTAGGAAATAAAAAAAACTGAGCTGAGATTTGACGTGCTGCCCACTGCAGGTGATACAAAGTTTGTGGTATGTGTCTAACCAAGTTCCCTTCTTGTTAAAACAAAAGCATTAACACTCTTCAGAGAAATACATCAGAATTCAGAGACTCCACTACGTAACATTTTACAATGTCAGCAATCTAAAATTACTCAACGTGTAAAGATCCAGTGAAGTGTGAGCCAAGCTCAAGGCAAGAGATAATCAATGGAGGCCAAGCTATCTGATAGGACCCAGGTGTCAAAATTGTCAGACAATGACATTAAAGCAGCTAATTTAATTATACTGAATAAGGTAAAGGAAAATATACTCATAATGAATGAAAAAACAGAAAATATCAGAAATAGAAAATATAGGAAAGAACTAAATGGAAATTCTAGAACTGAAAACATTATCTGAAATTTTAAAATTTCATAGGATTAGCATAATAGCCGAATGGAAATGACAGGATAGAGTCAGTGAACTTGGAGATAAATCCATGGTAATTATCCAATCTGAAAAGTAAAGAGAAAAAATGTGAACAACAACAAAAAGTAACAGAGCCTCAGGGACTTTTGGGACAACATTACAAGGTCTAAAAATACATGTAATTGGAGTCTCAGAAGAAAAGGAGAGAGACTAGAGTAAAATTTTTTTCTAATGGCAGATTTTCCAAATATGGTAAAAGATATGAATTTACAGATTCAAGAAGCTCAGTAAATCCCAAACAGAATAAATATGAAGACAACACCTGGCTATATCATATCCAAACTTAGAAAATCTAAGAAAAGATAAAATCTTGAAAGCAACTAGAGAAAATGATAAATGATTTGAATAATTGCAGACTCCTGATCATGCACTATGGAGATCAAACACAGCAGAAAAACATCTTTAAATGCTAAAAGAAATTAAAAAAAAAAAAAAAGAGTCAACCCAGAATCCTAGATCTAGCAAAAATATCCTTTAATAAAGATATTATTTTCACATGAAAGAAAACAGAATTTGTATCCTGCAGATCTATACTTTAAGAAATGCTAAAGGAAGCTCTTTGGGCTGAAAGGAAAATATACCAGAAAGAAACCTGTATTTTCAGGGAGGAATGAAGAATGCTGGAACTGCTACATCGGGGAAAAACAAATGGGCCACTGTAGCCTCCAGGTGAGCATACATACGCCTCAGCCTGACATCCAATGCCTTTCACCTTCACACTACAACATATACACCTCTTGACCCTGTTTCTTTCACAAGAGACACTGTGAACTTTTAGCAACACTACACTGAGTTCCAACTTCAACCTTTACAGATGCTACTCCCTCTACCCCAAATCCTCTCCCTTCCTTTTTCTCTCTATCTACGTAAATCACAGGCATACAAATTCATGCTGCAACTCACGGGACACTTCCAGGCCACTTCTGACTGCTCCAGGCCCTGTCGTGTATTTCTGTATGCAGCTTCCAGGAACAGAACAACAAATGGAAATACACTGCTAAAATATCTCAGTGATATCAAAGCACCTTTTTCTCTATTATTTTATTTAGTTCTAACAACATCAGTTTGAGGCAAGAGAACAGGTCTGGTGACAGACCTTATATAGGTGAGGCAACCGAGGCTCAGAGAAGGTGAATGGTTTTCACAAAGCTGGGCAGTCCAGAAGAACTGGCATTAGTGCTTGGCGCCTCAGACTCTCATCCCAGTTCTCTGTCCACCTGGCCATACTGACACACAATATACAGTGCCTGCCTGTAATCAATTTATAATCTTTTTTGCATTATAAACTTTTCACATAGCTACATAAGTTATATTTTAAGACAACTCAACACATCCCTCGATTGAAAATCTTGAACCTGGCCAAGTATCAGAAATACTCATGAAACTTCAAAATCCAGAACTTGTAACAGACCAACTGACTCAGAATCTCTCTGGAAATGCATTTTTAAAATTCCACAGGTGATTCTGACATGCAACCAGAGCTGAGAACCTCTCCATTGCATGACTAATCAAATAACTAATCCAGACTGTGGGCAATGTGAGAAGAAAGAAATGGGTGTGTGTTGGGGGTGCCACAAAGAAGGGAAACTCTGAGCCGGGGATTGAAGAAGGGAAATTTTGGATTGTAACAGAAAAGAAGGAGTGTATGTCAGGCCAGTGTGGGGCAGAGGGTGGGTAGGAAGGTTGAGACATGTCCATGAGACCGAATGTCTCTGAGCAGAGGTTCCCTGATCTAAAGGAATCAGGATATAAAGATGAGAATGCAGTGGCCAGTGCAGAGGATGGAAAGGAAGGGCAGGAGACAGGAGATTAGGGATCGAATGCTTGAGCCTTCCCTAGCACTCCTGTCCATAATCCTTTCTTTGAGGCTCTTACCCTCAGGCCACCTTGAGTGGATTCTGTGTTCTGTGATCTTTCTTTGAACTTCAACCCTATCAGCTTTATGTTTCTCACAGTCCTTCTCTACCTTGTGTTCTTAACCCCCCACCCAGGCGTTTGAATTCCCCAAAGGGTCTTGTTCATCTTTATATCCCCTAGATCAGTTATTCTCAACCAGGAGCAATTTTGACCCCGAGGGAACATTTGGCAATGTCTGGTGATATATTTGGGTTGCCACAACTGGAAGAGAATGTACTACATTGGCATTTAATGGGATGCTGCTAAGCATGATACTCAGTTTTAGCAAAGAATTATCCATCCCCAAATGTCAGTAGTGTTAAAGATGAGACACCCAGGCTTAGATAAAGTGCTTACACTTAATTGCTTTATTAATAAATTAAATTTAAGTTATTCTTTAATATTAGTAATTCAATATTGACTAATAAGTTAATAAATCTTTGATTAATGGCTGTCTGAACAACCTGATGAAAGAAAAAAATAAGTTTGGGTTTATCAGCCGCTAGTGACTTCCAGGTTTTCTAATTTCACAGGTAGTAAGTTATAAAAACAAAAATACAGAATTGTTCATTTTTCTTTTTGCCCTATATAGGCATTAAAAATAAATCTATAAGCTGCTATAAAGATTACTTCCTAAAATAATGGACATTTAAACTATCAAAATGTAATCGTATTAATAATAAAAATAACCTAGAAAAGATATTACCAAAAAGGTTAGTACACAGCCAACAGCTGCTGTAGACTGGTGAAAAGTTCACTTTAGCCAGCGCTGGACCACTGTCCACCAACTTAGGAACCTCTGAATGAGACTACAAGATCCTGGAGAGCAGGGACCTTGTCTTACAGGTAGCCTTCTGGTAGCCTGATGCTGAGCAGCCCAGGGAAGGCTGCCAAGGCCACCCTACCTGTGCTGCCAGCCCCTACCTTATATTCCAGGGAGAGCAAAGTCTCTGTCTTAGAAGCCCAGCTCCACTTGTGAACTGCATAGCCCTTGTAGTCGTTGGTGGTCCCGCCTTCCTCATCCAAGATCAAGACATATGGGCAGCTAGGAGAGACATATAAGTGAGGAGCTGCCACCAGGTCCCTGAAGGAAGCTCTCGTCGCTGCAGGCAGGGCTCTGAAACTCTGTGGTAGCTGGAGGGAGCACAGAGCTCTGCATGCAGCCTCACTTCCCCTGCCAAATATGGTCTGAGGCTCAATTATACCTGTTGATGTTAATGAAAGAATCTATCGGGAAGGGAAGGTCCGAGGGAGATGATGGAGACTCGGGTCAAACCCAAGAGGGATAGAAATGTAATATATGCCCTGTTGCCCAAGGAGTCTGAGTGTACAAGACCTTAGGCATCAAAATGGGAACATCTATAACATGAAAGTAAGTAATTTCTTCCAAAGACATTTCCTTATGAAAGGCCAGGCAAAATCACCTTTTGGCTCACAAAAATGGGTGCTGGCCAAAAATGTGGTGCCCATGGCGTCTCCATCACTCTCTTCTGGTATAAAACATTTACCTCCACTAAGGTATTGTTCCATGAATCTAGCCGACACACAAGGTCTTAGTGCTATGGGGATGCAAGTGGAGTAGGTCTTGGAGAATGGCCATTCTCACTGGCTATGACACAGATACAGCAAATGGGGGCCTCAAAGTACCTATGTTCTACAGGCACTGCCTCACTGCCTTCTTAAAGCTCTGGTCACTGCCCAGTAGCTCCTTTCCCAAGAGACTCTTACTTGGCACCTCAGTGCCCCACTTTGTTACCCCCCAGAGATACTTACATGGAGCCATAATTCCCCCAACCCACTCACCGGGCCTTTAGGTTGTAGTGAACACAGCCCTGGCCTTCAGCATCGAACAGGGCCAGGAAAGAGAAGCTGGGTGTGTCATTAAATAGGCAGGTGATGGTTCTCCCTCTGCAGCACGTAGGGATCTGACACATGGCAATGTTTCCAGAGGGATAGCTGGCAGAAATGGTTAAGTAGAACTAACAAAAAACTCTCCAGGTTCTGCTCTTAGGTGACTCATGGAAAGCAAGTCTACAAGTCTAAGTGTTAGCTTAGTGATATATCATTCCCAGTTTTCAGCGGCCCTTCCTGCACTTTGCATAAGAAATAACTAAATGACTATGGAACTTACCATGCCTCTAGTGCTTTTCTGTAGCTTCTTTCTATTCCTCAAAACCACCCTGTGGCAAATATTATCATCTCCATTTCAAGGATGAGTAGGGTTTCCCTGCATGTGAGGAGTTTCCTGGGATGTGGGACTTTCATTGCTAAAGCCAGGAAAGTCTGGGGAAAACCAGGATGAATTGATTACCTTACAGTTGAGAAATTCAAGGTTGCAAAAAAATGGTCTGCCTTTCGTCACACCACAAGGAAGTGGTAGAGCCAGTATCTCAAATCTGAGGCCAGTGATATTTCTAATGCTGTCAGGCTGCTTCCCCTTCTGACCAATCTTGGAGATAAGTCAGTATCTACCTGCTCATTACTTACCAAGAGGCCCCAGCAAGCACTGGTCCCAACTAAGAGGGATATGGTGTGGACAGCTACTATCCTGTTAGCAGAAATTTCAGAAGTACCCCAGACAGAAAAATTTCAGGCATCGACACTAGGATCCACCATCTTAACCCTTATCTACAAACTGTTAAAAAAAATAGCTAACACAAATAAAAAGTAACCAAACAGAAATTCTGAAGCTGAATAGTATAATAAATAAAATGAAAAAATCCACCAGATGGCTTTATTAGTAGAATGGCACAGTAGAAGAAAGAATCAGTGAATTTGAAGATAGAGCAATTGAAATTATCCAGTCTCAGGAGCTGAAAATTTATTTAAGAAAAAAAAAAGGAATGAGGAAAATCAAACAGAGACTGGGAGATCTGTGGACAATTATCAAGTCAGCCAACATATCCATAACAAGATCCCCAGAAGAAGAAGGGAGAGAGAAGGTAAAATAATATTTGAACAAATAATGAATGAAAACTCCCCAAATTTTATGAAAGACATCAATCTGTATTCCATTATTTATTCAAGAAGCTCAGCAAACTCCAAGTAGGATAAATTCCAAGAGAGCCACACTGAGACATTATTATCAAACTGCAAATAGGCAAAGACAGAGGAAATCCTGCAAGAGGCAAGAGAAAAGAGGCTTGTCATCTTGAAGATACAAGGGATCTTCAATAACATTAATGGCCTATTTGTCATCAGAAACCATGGAGGCCAAAAGGCACTAGGATGGAATATTTATAGCACTGAAAGAAAAACATCAGTCAACCAAGAGTTATTAAGAAAAACTATCCTTCAAAAAATTAAGGAGAAATTAAGACTTTCCAGATAAAGGCTGAGGAAGTTCACCACTACAAGGAAGGAGTCCTTCAGGCTGAGATGAAAGGACACTTGGCAGTAACTCAAAGACATGCAAAGAAAAAAAGAACACCAGTAAAATAACTATATAAATAAATGTAAAATCCAGTATGATAGTATTTTTGGTTTATAATTCCTCTTTCTTTCCTATGTGACTTGAAAAAAATGCAAAAAATGGTCATTGTAAATCTATGTTAATGATATACCTCTGTATAAAAAGGTAATTTCTGAAAACAACATTAAGGAGGGAGAATAAGCTATATGGGATCAGAGTTTTGTATACCATTAAGGCTAAATTAGTATTAATTAAAACTAGTTTGTTGCCAGTTGTTGTAATCAAGTGTGTTAGTTTCTTGGGCTTTATGTAATTAAGTCATTTGAATAGCAGAAATTTATTATCTCACAGTTTTGGAAACTACCAAGGTGTTGACAGTGTCATGCTTTTGGAGGCTCTGTGGAAGAATCCTTCCTTGCCTCTTCATAGCTTCTAGTGGTTGTCAGGAATCTTTGACATTCCTTGGTTTACAAATGCATCATTATAATCTCTATCTCAGTCATCACATGGCCTTAATTATTCTGAGTGTGACTCTTTTCTCTTCTTGAATTAGGGACCACAATAATCCCATATGGCTGCATTTTAACTTAATAGTTACATCTGCAAAGACCCTATTTCTAAATACAGTCACATTCTGAGGTTTCAGGTAAACATAAATTTTTGGTAGACACTATTCAACCCATTATGGCAGGATAAGCACCAAGAAAATAACAAAATATGGAGAAAAGAAAATGAGAAGGGAATCAAAATGTCATGCTACAAAAAAAAAAAAAAAATCAAACACAAAAGAAGGCAGTAATGGAGGAACTGAGAAACAAAAAAGAAATAAAACATTAAAAAATAACAGGATTAAGCCCTTTTATATCAGCAATTACTTTAAATATAAATGGATCAAATTCTCCAAACAAAGGCAGAGATTGTGAGAATGGATTTAAAAAGCATAATCTCCATATATGCCGTCTGTAAGAAACTCACTTTAGTGCCAAAGACACAACTAGGTTAAAAGTTAAATGATGAAAAGGGGTAGTCCGTGTAAAATGTAACCAAAAAAGAACAAAGTTGGTTATATTGACATCAGATAAAACAGACTTTAAGTAAACATTCTTTTACAAGAGACAAATAAAGACATTATATATTCAGAAAATGTTCAATGCTTTAAGAATATATAACAGTTATAGACATGCACACCTTACAACAGAGCCTTAAGATATATAAAGCAAAATTTGACAGAATTAAAAAATAAATACTACAGTAAGGGCTTCACTACCTCACTTTCAATAATGGATAGAACAATTAGACAGAAAATCAATAAGGAAATAGAGGACTTGAACACTATTATAAACCAACTAAATCTCACAGACATATACAGAATATCCCATCCAACAACAGCAGAATACACATTATTGTCAAGTTCACATGGATCATTCTCTGGTATAGACAATCTGTTAGACCACAAAACAGCTCTCAATAAATTTTAAAACATTATAACCAGAGAGAGGTCACTGGCAGAAGGAAATTGGGAAAATTCACAAATAGACAGAAATTAAATGTCACACTCAACCAATGGATAAAGAACAAATCACAAAGAATATTGAAAAAATAAGATAAATGAAAATAAAAACATAATATACCAAAACTTATGGAGTAAAGTAAAAGCAGTGCTCGGAGAGAAATTTACAGCTATAAATACTGACATCAAAGGAGAAGAAAGATATCAAATCAATAACCCAAACTTCCACCTTAATTAACTATAAGAAGAAAGAGCAAATTAAAGGTAAAGCTAAGCAGAAAGAAGGAAGTAAACATTAGCACAGAGAAAAACAAAATAGTGAATACTAAAACAACAGGGAAAACCAACAAAACCCAAAATTAGTTCTTTGAAAAGATTGGCAAAATTCACAGATCCCCAGCTAGACTAAGTGAGAAAAAAGAAGACTCAAATTTCTAAAATTATAGATGAAAGTGAAGACATTACTAATGACCTTACAGAAAGGAAAAGAGATCAGCCCTGGCTGGTGCGGCTCAGTGGACTGAGTGCCAGCCTTCGAACCAAAGGGCCGGCTGTTTGATTCTCAGTCAGGGCACATGCCTGGTTGCAGGCCAGGTCCCCAGTAGGGGGCACTTGAGAGGCGACCACATATTGATATTTTTCTCCCTCTCTTCTCCCTTCATTCCCCTTCTCTAAAAATAAATAAAATCTTTTTAGAAAAAGAAATGAAAACAGATCATAAGAGAATCATCTGAACAATTGTATAAGAAGTTAGATAACCTAGTTGAAAAGGACCAATTCTTAGAAACACACAAAGCAAAGTTGCAGGATACAAGATCAACACACAAAAATCAGTTGTTCCTCATAAATGCAGGATATCTTTCCATTCATTTCAGTCTTCTTTAATTTATTTCAAGAATATTTTATAGTTTTTAGTAAACAAGTCTTATACATTTTTGGTTAAATTTATCAAATTATTCTATTCTTTTTTATGTTACTATAAATGATATCACTTCTTTTTGTTCTTTTTTTATTGTTGTTGTACTTACATTTCAGATAATTTATTGCTAGTATTCATGGATTAGAAGAATTAATATTGTTAATGGCAATATTCCCCATAGTGATCCATAGAATCAATGGAATCCCTATGAAAATTTCATCAATCTTCCTTGGAGAAATAAACTTGATCCTAAAATTCATATAGAATTGCAAGGGACCCCAAATAACCAAAATAATCTTGAAAAAAATAACAAAGTTGAAGGACTCACATTTCTTGATTTCAACACTTACTACAAAGTCACAATAATCAAGACAGTGTGATATTTGCATAAATAATAGGCATATAGAACAATGCAATAGAATTAAGAGTCAATTGATGTTCAGCAAGAGTCCCAAGACCATTCAAGTGGGAAAATAATAGTCTCTTCAACAGATAGTTCTGGGACAATTGTATATCACATGCAAAAGAATGAAGTTGGACCCTTATCTCACACCTGGCAAAAATGCAAAAATCAACTACAAAGGTATCAAAAACATATATGTAAGAGGTATAACTATAAAACTTTTAGAAGAAAACAGCATAGATATATAAACCAAAGTATAAGAAACAAAAAAATAGAAAAATTGACTTCAAAATTAAAAACTTTGTACACCAAGGGATGCTATCAAGAGTATGAAAAGACACACCACTGTATAGGGAAAATATTTGCAAATCTTATATCTGATAAGAGTCTAGTATCCACAATGTATAATTAACTCTTATAAGAAAAATAATCAACAAATGGCAAAGGACTTGAATACATATTTCTGCAAAAAAGATATACAAAGAAAGCACATGAAGATGCTCAAAATTATTAGCTATTAGGGAAATGCAAGTTAAAACCATAACAGTATATCAGTTCACACCCACTAAAATGGCTGAAATTAAAAAAACTAAAAAATATCAAGGATTGTCAAAGAAGTGAAGAAATTGGCATCTCACACATTGCTGATAAGAATATAAAATGGTGCAGCCAGTTTGGAAAACATTTTGGAGGTTTCTCAATAAATTAAACA